CTTTTCTCAAAATTATAAATAAAATACCGACGTGTAGTTCGCTTATCACTTGAACTGAATATACTACTCGCGAGACACTTAGACACTTGGTTGAGCGCAAACAATTACTGGGCGCTGTCACACTGGGCGCTGAGTAAAATCGCTAGAAAATTCAGAGTCCCAACGCTAATTCGCTTAAATGACCAAATTCAACTTTTGGTCTCTCAAAGTTCGCACTCGGATCACTTTAATCGCACACTTGAATTAACACTGACGACCCGATGATCGTATGGCCCGGCACAAAACTAGAATTTATTCCGAAATTGAGATTTTCCAAGCGACTTTGAAAAATGTCATCACAAAAATTTTCCACGATTTCACTGATTTCAGTTCTTTCACTGACTTCACTTTATACACCGCACTTCACTTGAACACAGTAAACCACTCACCTTTTAGTAATTCCCTCAAAGAATTAATACTGCACAATACGAAAACAAAATCCAGACTTAAACATGTAAAACAAATACTTAGAAAGATAATAACACTTATATACGAGAATTACGTAAACAAGGGGAAACACTTAACTAACGAAGGGATACTTAACCTGAAAAGGAACTTAATATACAGGGAACTTAATTTAGTACTTAAGGAAATCTCGATTTAACCTATAACCGTCCCGTCCCGGCCCGCCCTGTCGCTCCTCCAAGCCTAGGTAACCACATCCACCTAGATCCCGACAGTACCCAATAATCCTGTCCTTCGCGGTCAACGGTTAGACTAGAATGCGGAACAACCGACGGATCTAACTGTCCGACACCACCGTTATTCCGTTGCTAGAGAATCTACTAGGCCATCCCTCAGTGAACTCTTGGTACCTTCATGGCTGTACCGTAAAAATCTAGCGATTGGGTCGCCTACCACGCCCTCGGGGATAATAATTAGCATCCTAATACTTCCCCGCCCCGACAATTCGACACCTAGAATTGTTGCTGCGAAAACCACCACGCAGCACCCTTGTCCGTAGTTGCAGAGGGTCGAGAAAAATAATACCCTTTCCAACTACCCAAGGCGGCCTCCACGCTAAACTGTCTGATTAGCGCATACGCTTACTGTATATAATTAAACTTCCCAGCCCCGCACGACCCTAGAATCGCCTACTATATGCGAATCGCACCACATAGGATTACCGTCGACTCTATCTCATGGGCCCCGGCTGCACCCTCCCCACATAACATAACCGAACGGACAGGCGCATGAGGCTTCAATAATCGTCAAGAAATTATTGAAACACCGCTGCTACCATTGTAAGACCGCTTACCCTGTCGTAATAACCGCGGCCTCTATTGTAATAACCCAATGTTCCCCAGTATTAACCCTGTTATCGTGTTATCTCTCGTGATCGTAATATACGCTCTCTGTTGTACATCTCTGTCTCTCTCCACTCAATACCCCAGCTTAACACTGTTACAGTCCAGTATGACCCCTCACTGGACTGCCACGTATGTAAGAGGAATATTAAATGAGGAAGATACACCAAGGAAAAGGGTTATTAGTAAAAAAAAAACAATAACAAAACACATTTACACTGCCACCACCTTCCCGACCAACCATACCTGAATGTGTCAATCACCGATCCCCCAGGAAGGCAAGGAATCAGTAACCATGGGACTCCGGGTAATATGAATTTCAGTAATAAATTTTGGAAAATTAGTTTGTGTAATTTACGTTACTAATTTAAATCCAAGGGCAACTTTAGTGTCGATTAATTGTTAGGAGAACCTGTGGGGCTTCCAATACAACACCTAAAAAATGACAAAGTAGCAAAATATATCAAAGGGGAGTTAAGTGAATACCACTGGACAAGCTATACAATTTATTTTATGAAACATTTTATTTTATTAAGACAATTTGAACACATAACCTATTCTATTTCCCTAGAGGCACAATGGATATTTACCGAGGGCACGAAACTCAAGTGCTACTCTACCTTAAATACCCGCACTACGGCCACGATGTTGATGGCTGCCCTCAGTCCCGAGGATACGGGCTTGCGGCCCAGTTCCTAATACACTCCCAAGACACACTGATGAATTTTAGTTTTACCAACTTATTGCTGGGAAGGATTACTCCTCCCACCATCTAATACAGCCCCAGGGCTCCACCCATTATTTTGGCAATGGCCAACCATTTAACACGTAGGCCTGAGGTCTGGCTCTCTAGGGCCAATAAGGACTTGGCCCTTATCTCAGGCCAATCACCTTCACTGATCTGTCGTGGAAAGCTACATGAATTCCTGAAGATTGAGTCAGCTCTCCCCAGCTAGAGAAGGGGGACAAGGCGCGTCTATGGAGTGCAGGCACCTGCGAGCAATGTTTACAAAACTGATAAATTATGTTCAAGCCTGTCTCCTCTAAGATAGCGAGTAGGGACATTTGACTCTGCCTGGTATGGGGAAGGCCGCTGCTGAGAGGGACAGAGAGGGATGAGAGGGGGTGGAGAGGGAAATATCTGAGTGGGGAAGTTGAGTGGGAGAAGCCAAGGTATCCACGACCACCCTACCCTCAGGTCAACCTCTTGACCCTGACAAATGGGCGACAGGGGGGGGGAAGAGGAGAGGAGACGAATGACGGCCAAGGGGAGGGGAGAAGGAAGGAGGGGAGAGGGAGAAGGAAAGGAGGGGAGAAGGGAGAACCAATGATCTGAGCCCCAGATCATTACACCATTCTGGGCCTGTACCCGGGCCCCTTCTGGGCCTGTACCCGGGCCCTTTCTGGGCCTGTACCCGGGCCCTTTCTGGGCCTGTACCCGGGCCCTTTCTGGGCCTGTACCCGGGCCCTTTCTGGGCCTGTACCCGGGCCATTTCCGGACCTGTACCCGGGCCATTTCTGGGCATGTACCCGGGCCCTTTCTGGGACTGTACCCGGGCCCTTTCTGGGCCTGTACCCGGGCCCCTTCTGGGCCTGTACCCGGGCCCTTTCTGTGCCTGTACCCGGGCCCTTTCTTGGCCTGTACCCGGGCCCTTTCTTGGCCTGTACCCGGGCCCTTTCTTGGCCTGTACCCGGGCCCTTTCTTGGCCTGTACCCGGGCCCTTTCCGGGCCTGTACCCGGGCCCTTTCTTGGCCTGTACCCGGGCCCTTTCCGGGCCTGTACCCGGGCCCTTTCTTGGCCTGTACCCGGGCCCTTTCCGGGCCTGTACCCGGGCCCTTTCCTGGCCTGTACCCGGGCCCTTTCTTGGCCTGTACCCGGGCCTTTCCGGGCCTGTACCCGGGCCCTTTCCGGGCCTGTACCCGGGCCCTTTCCGGGCCTGTACCCGGGCCCTTACCCGGGCCCTTTCCGGGCCTGTACCCGGGCCCTTTCTGGGCCTGTACCCGGGCCCTTTCCGGGCCGGTACCCGGGCCCTTTCCGGGCCTGTACCCGGGCCCTTTCCGGGCCTGTACCCGGGCCCTTTCCGGGCCTGTACCCGGGCCCTTTCCGGGCCTGTACCCGGGCCCTTTCCGGGCCTGTACCCGGGCCCTTTCCGGGCCTGTACCCGGGCCCTTTCCCGGGCCCTTTCCGGGCCCTTTCCGGGCCTGTACCCGGGCCCTTTCCGGGCCTGTACCCGGGCCCTTTCCGTGCCTGTACCCGGGCCCTTTCCGGGCCTGTACCCGGGCCCTTTCCGGGCCTGTACCCGGGCCCTTTCCGGGCCTGTACCCGGGCCCTTTCCGGGCCTGTACCCGGGCCCTTTCCGGGCCTGTACCCGGGCCCTTTCCGGGCCTGTACCCCCTTTCCGGGCCTGTACCCGGGGGCCCTTTCGGGCCTGTACCCGGGCCCTTTCCGGGCCTGTACCCGGGCCCTTTTCGGGCCTGTACCCGGGCCCTTTCCGGGCCCTTTCCGGGCCTGTACCCGGGCCCTTTCCGGGCCTGTACCCGGGCCCTTTCCGGGCCTGTACCCGGGCCCTTTCCGTGCCTGTACCCGGGCCCTTTCCGGGCCTGTACCCGGGCCCTTTCCGTACCCGGGCCCTTTCCGGGCCTGTACCCGGGCCCTTTCCGGGCCTGTACCCGGGCCCTTTCCGGGCCTGTACCCGGGCCCTTTCCGCCCTTTCCGGGCCTGTACCCGGGCCCTTTCCGGGCCTGTACCCGGGCCCTTTCCGGGCCTGTACCCGGGCCCTTTCCGTGCCTGTACCCGGGCCCTTTCTGGGCCTGTACCCGGGCCCTTTCCGTGCCTGTACCCGGGCCCTTTCCGGGCCTGTACCCGGGCCCTTTCCGGGCCTGTACCCGGGCCCTTTCCGGGCCTGTACCCGGGCCCTTTCCGGGCCTGTACCCGGGCCCGTTCCGGGCCTGTACCCGGGCCCTTTCCGGGCCTGTACCCGGGCCCTTTCCGGGCCTGTACCCGGGCCCTTTCCGGGCCTGTACCCGGGCCCTTTCCGGGCCTGTACCCGGGCCCTTTCTGGGCCTGTACCCGGGCCCTTTCTGGGCCTGTACCCGGGCCCTTTCTGGGCCTGTACCCGGGCCCTTTCTGGGCCTGTACCCGGGCCCTTTCTGGGCCCTGTACCCGGGCCCTTTCCGGGCCTGTACCCGGGCCCTTTCTGGGCCTGTACCCGGGCCCTTTCTGGGCCTGTACCCGGGCCCTTTCTGGGCCTGTACCCGGGGTACAGGTACGAGTACCAGGGTACTCGCCTTGGTATCCGCCAGGTAACTGAGGCCTGTACACAAAGGGGACCCTCGCTGGATTTTTCCCCAGGCGAGGTTTGTTTATGGTCGGTTGAGGCTCGCCGATAACTACCCCTATCCCATGCAGGGCGTTTAAATTATAGCACTAGACACGAAATCATATACTGTATAAATGATATGCGCGGTTTCGGTTGTTACTGATAACATATATATATATGATATGCGCGGTTTGAGGGTTAAGGCACAATATGTACACTGCCATCACCACGTGAGACTTTTCCATTCATCTTTGAATGACAACTGTCCCCCCATACATGTCTTACTCCCAAATTAAATTGGGAGTAAGTAATTTATTAAGTAATAAAACCACTGTAATATGAGGGAGTTTTATTATGACCCAACCCCCCCAGGCCTATACATGTCAATGAGCAAAATATTACCTCATTAAGTTTTACATGAGGTAATATTTTGTTTTTACAAAATATATTTTGTCTTTTTATGAAGAAAGTTTTAAATATTTCCAACCATTTTTAAGTACTGTACAATTAACTAAAACATAATTTTTTGACTTACATTTCTTAAATATTAATAAAATAACAATGGGTGAAATTTTGAAGTTTCCTGACTGTAAACTTCTACAAAATTAGCATAACAATAACTTACAGGACTTCAGTACAGCATCAACAAATTCCTTCGTGAGGAATCCTCAATCCTTATGAATTCAAGTCCATAAAATTAAATCCAATATGTAGACATAAAAGATAACATTCAAAAGTCTTAAATTAAACCAGATGAAAATGCAGAACATTTTTAATGCAGAACAGGCGAACTACAAGCATCGTTCGTAGCCAGATGAACTGCAAGCTTAGCTCGCACCAGGATGTTTCTTTGTTATTTATTTGTCACCTTCTTTAAGGTCATCAAGTATGCTTCCTTGCTAAAATAATTTCCTTCCCAACTAGTTTTATTGTACATTATTCCACCTAAATATTAAAAACCACAATTCAAACACTTCAGAGTAAAAGATCGTCCTCATCAACATCATCATCCTCCAACTCTAGCATGTCTCCCTCTAGCAACAATGCCTCTTCCTCATCTAGTAACGAATCAATTCTGCTTAGAGGCTCACGGTTGCAACTGGAATTTAACTTTGCATTGGCTGTTGGCATAAGTTTATTAGACAAGACCAATATCGACACTGCAGAATTGGGGACATCAATATTAACCTTTTCGCTATTCCCAAGAGATTTTTCTTGAACTGTTTCACTGTGCGAGTGAAAAGTTTTTGTTACAGACCCCTTTGTTTGTACTGTTCTTGTTGGTGGTGCATCTTGGTGAGAAGGCTGACTGATAGCTCTAGTGGGTAGTACTTCTTGATGAGAGGGCTGGCTGACAGCTCTATCTGGTGGTACATCTTGATGACAGGGCTGACAGACAGCTCTAGTGGCTGGTATTTCTTGGTGTGAGGGCTGAGTAACAGCTTTACTGGGTGATAAATCATGGTGAGAGGGCTGGCCGACAGCTTTAGTGGGTGATACATCTTGGTGTGGGGGCTGGCTGACAACTTTAGTGGGTGGTACATCTTGCTGAGAGGGCTGGCTGACAGTTCTAGTGGGTGGTACATCTTGCTGAGAGGGTTGGCTGACAACTCTAGTGGGTGGTACATCCTGTTGCAAGAGCTGGCTGACAGCTCTAGTGGGTGGTATATCCTGGTGAGAGGGCTGGCTGACACATTCTGAAGTTTTAACAGGAGAGCGATTGATGGAAATCTTTCTTGTACTGAAGGTAATTTTTTGTTCTGGTAAGACTTGTTTAAGAGAACTGTTACTGGTGGGATTTGTACTTGCTGGAAAGTTTCTTTCTTTAGACTCAGACTTAAATTTCTTAGATGAATTGTTAAATGTTATTGGTGATGGAGGTCTCTTTTGTCGAGCCCCAGAGTCCTCCGTAGTGGTTACTGCCTGACGTTTTGAAGCTCTGATTTCAGCAAGGGTCAAAACACGAACTTGTCCTTCATTCTTAGGTGATGTGACTTCCTTCACTTCATAAGGAAGTGAATTAGTCCCATTTTTAATTTCACTCTTTTGTACTTTTTTTGTGGGACCCTTTTTTCGCTTTTCAGCTCTAATATCAGCTAAACTTTTTATGGTGAAGTCAAGTTCAACCGTAACTGTCTTTTCTGGTGTGTTTCTAGAAATACGTTTCTTAACACTTTTAGAAGTATTGGAATCCTCACTAGAATCTAGCAGTTGGCCTCTTTTCACCCCTACTCGGCCCATTAGGGCTTTCTCAGTTAGGCTCGGTTCTTCCTCTGGGGTGCTGCCCCTTAGTGGATCCTGATGCCCTAATCTGCCACCCAGTCGGCTCACAACACTTTTACTCTCCCCAATTCTATGTGCAATTGATTTTACATTGACATTATCTGCACAGTTTCCTCTGCTGTTAAGTTTCTTGACGTGTATCCTTCGCAGGGAGCCGGTTGTGCCCAGAGTCTCGGCAAGAGTCCTTCCCGCCACACCTCCCATCCGTGCAGATATTGGAGCCCCACCTCCCAATCGTGCAGGTGCAGGTATTGAAGCCTTATTTCTGGCACGAACCTCCCCTTGTTTTGGGCTTACTCTGTGTTTGAGAATGCTGTGCCTAAGATCATCATCAGCAGGTTCCGGTAGTGTACTGACTGCCAAGTGGGAGCGGTGGCCGGCTGCTTTGTGGAAGAGACGTCGATGAACCGTGTCATTATCCTCCTCAATTTCCACAACTTCCTCAACTACATACTGCAAGAAAAATAATACGTAAATACATAACACAGCTATGAATGTTCGTATGACAAGCAACTAATTTTCCACATTACTTATGAATTGTTTAATGTAACAAGCAGAAAATAAAATGCTGCTGTTTTGCATAAATTAATAAATAAAATAATTTAGTAAGTCATGGAAGAGATGGTGTACATGACAAATTTACTCCAGAAAACGAGATTATTAATTTCCGCATCGCCACAACATCTCGATCCAAAATGAATTGACTCATCACGGCCCTTGTGGATTTGTTCATGAATTGACCTAATTTAACATTAAAATCAACAGTTTAAAGACTGAAGACAACATAAATACAGTTCCTAAATTAATTATATCATCAATTATTAAATGAGTTAAAACAAATCCTTCCTTCCAATTATTAATAAAACCCATAACTGGGAGACATGCCCAGAGAGGAAGAGGGAGCCACTTCACGAGCCACGACAGCTACCAGACTTCCCACATGTCTAGAAAGTAGTGTTACCCTCGGCTGCTAATTACTGCTACAACTATCTCTTTTTCAAGGAAGGAGATAGATCACTTGCATCGAACTATCGGCCAATTAGCTTAACGTCTATTGTGGGAAAATTACTTTAATCGATAATTGCAAATACCATTCATCTTCATCTTGAAAAACAAATTAATAAATGATTCACAACATGGTTTTACAAAGGGCCGCTCATGTTTAACAAATTTGCGATCACTTATTTAAGCATAGTTGAAGCAGTTGATAATGGTAAGGTATGATATGTTGTGTACCTTGACTCTAGCTAAGATTTTGACACAGTTCCAAATGAAATACTGATAAAAAAGTTAGAGGCTCATGGTATTGGAGGTACTATATTATGTTGGATTAGGGCATGGCTATACCAAAGTATAACGAATACCAAAGGAAACAAAGAGTTAGTATAAATGGGGTTAAGTGGGGGTTAAAATGGGATAAATTGTGGGAAGCTGTTTTAAGTGGAGTGCTCTGTCCTGGGACCTCTTATTCATTATATATAAATGATTTAGATTCACGCCCACAAATTGTCGGACAAGGTGTGGGCAAACAGTGCAAGCCTACCCCCCCCCCCCCCATCGCCCTGGCAATGGGACTCCAGGACCTCGTAACTCACCTCTAACGTAACGTACCTCTAAGAGGAGCAACTCCCAAACACTCCGGGGAAGATAACAGTGGCAAGGACAGTCCTAGGGAGCACACAGGGAAGGTAGCCATACGCACATACCAAGTACACATACCTCACACCTTGTTATGGCAAGAGCACTCACTGTGTGAGCGAGAACACTTATGCAGTGTATTGGAAAATGCCACCATCACCTAGCTTAAACAAGCAGAACACTGGATTCAGCATGGAGGCCTAGTAGCCATGTGCACATACACAACCAAGTACTAGCCTCACACCTAGTTATGGCGTGAGCACTCACTGCATGAGCGACAACACTTACGCAGTGTATTGGAAAATGACACCACCACTGTTCCTTTTACTTGCTTCCCAGTAAAGTAGCAAAAATAAATGCCACTTCTCCCTGTGCTTTTGTGAGGTGGGGGGGGGGAGGTTCTGGCGCTGGTCCCTAGTAGACCTATAGAAGTGATGACTTAATAGATGGCACACTATCAGTATACAGTAGCTTCAGTAGCTTTTGAGCCCCTTGTGGCTCCCCTCAGAAAGGTTCCAACCACTTGGGCAGGACGGTAGAACGACGGTCTCGCTCCATGCAGGTCGATGTTCGATCCCCGACCGTCCAAGTGGTTGAGCACCATTCCTTCCCACCATCCCATCCTAAATCCTTATCCTCACCCCTTCCAAGTGCTATATAGTTTTAATGGCTTGGCACTTCCCCTGATAATTCTTCTCTCCCCTCAGAAAAATGCAACTTCTCTGGACCAATACAGCTAAATCACAAGTAGAGACTTTTTACTTGGATTATTTGTGATTTCTGGATGCTAATTTACAATATCAACATAAAAAAATGTTTTCAGAATAAATTTGGGGTTGTCATGATTAGATTGTCATCATCTAACAGGTGCACATTGCAGGGGGTTAGGCCTACAAATCCAATATCCGGTAATAAATAACTTTACTAACCTCCTCTGGATCCTCAGCCTTTTCCTCGACTTTTGATACTTTTCCTTCTGATTGGTCATTGTGATCTTCCTCAAATGTGTAACCAATTAGGTTGGCTTCGTGTTCCTGAATCTGCCGGAGTCTCCTCAGCTCCCACTCCATCTGGGCACTCAGTCTTGGGCATGGATCTATTCTCTTCTGGGGCGATCCCGATACACTCTCAGAGTCTGATTCACCTGCCGGACACAGAATTATTTTGTGTTAACAGTTTAACAACCAATATCAAATGTTCCTACTGCAGCGAAGTACACATGACTACACTGATGCACACTATACTGAGGTAAAGTTGATTACATTAAGGTCACACAACTAAATCAAGGTGCACACAACTACAGTGATTTAAATAACAAACCAGTAATCAAAAAGGTGGTAGCTTACCATCCTGAAGCTGAACAATTATAGGGTCGCTGAACTGAGGTTGTCGTGCAACTAAAGCAGGGTCGAGTAAGGCCTGGGGCAGGAGGACCTGCCGCTCCGACTCAACGCTCACGTCCGTCACCGACGGCTTCTCCACCTCCTTTTCTTCTTCAGTTTTCACGGGTAATATCACTGAAATATAGATAAGTGACTATGATGGGTACCTATGTGGCAGGTGACTGTTATGGATGACTGTGATGTAAGACTGCCATCCATACACAATGAATTCACATTAACATGTATCAATGAGAAAATCAGTATAGGAGTCATGAAAAGGATTCAAACCTGCATACTGGGTAACCCCAAGCACACCAAAAGTACACTGTGCCTGGATGACTGTAATTGGTGGCTGTGTGATTATGATTTTTTATATTATGTATTATTATTATTATTACAGTATTTTCTACTTTATTATTATTATTATTATTATTATTATTATTATCATCAGTTGTATATCTGGGAGACCTTATACCCATACAACACTGTCCATTGTACCCTGATCTTCCCAGGTACACCCAGATCTAAAGATCTGATCTACCCAGATCTAAAGCTCAAAGAATTCATACAGGAGAGGAGATAAATACTTACAATCAGGCTTCTTTTTAATATCCTCTTCTCTGGGGTGGTCCAAAATATTTTGGTGCTGAAAGGGACAGTGCGGCTTCTTGCAACCTCCCGGTTGACTCTCAAACCAACACGCAATTCTATCCCTTTGTTTCTGAAAAGAATTTAGCCAAGATAAAGTCATATTGTAGTAGAAAAGTCTGCAGAGAATATTTCACATCATACCATACGGTTACCTTTTGATGATTCCGAAGATAAACATATCAGCGACGAGTTCTCTGACCAGGCATTCTGGTTGATGGTTTAGCCAACCAGGTTGTTCGACATGGCTGCTCGCAGCCTGACATATGAATTGTAGTTGATCAGATATTCTTTGAAGGTCTTTGTTTATCTATTGAAGATAAGTTCTCTATTGAAAGCTGTGAGAGGTCAGTCAGTTATGTCTCTCTTATAAATACAAAGAGAGTTGAAATGTGCAGGCGATGAGTCATAATAACATGGCTGAAGTATGTTGACCAGACCACTAGAAGGTGAAGGGACAACGACGGTTCGTCCTGGACTATTCTCAAGTCGATTCTCAAGACAATCAACTTGAGAATGGTCCAGGACGGACCGAAATATCATCGTCTCTTCACCTTCTAGTGTGTGATCTGGTCAACAGAGTTTAAATGTCTTGGGCCTTTGATGTTGATTATGCTCTTTTTCTTGGATCCCTATTGCACCTCTGCCTTTCAAAAAGGCTATTCTGCACATCAAGCCATGTACATCTGCACATCTGGTCTCATATTCTTTGGGATTGGGTGGTTATAAATAGGAGCTGCCTCGTATGGGCCAATAGGCCTTTTGCAGTTACCTTTGTTCTTATGTTCTTATATGGTGTCATTTCTGTGTACAAATTTGGAACCAGCACTGCTAGTATTTTCCAAGTGGAAATTATTATGTATCCCTCCTGCCTGCACTGTAGGAAATGCACAATTATTTCTGGTGTTTCTTGAGCGTTTTGGCCTGGGTTCGTATCCAGGCTAGGAAGGAATTACTTATCGCCAATCCCTAACTGTAGTTGTTCTGGCATGTTCCCAGGCATTAGTGTTAGATAGAATTGTTAGTGCGTCTGGCCTTGATCCAGTGAGGGAGGCAGCCGCCAGCTGTGTGTGTAGCGACGTCTCTTTTATATTGCCTGAACCCACCATACCAGCTTAGTTTTAGAGTTATGTTGAATAAAACATGTAGATACTTATATATAATGTCTGTAAATCTATATAAATAAAAATGGAAATGTTCGTTTGTTCAAAATCGCTAATCTCCGAAAGTTCTTCACCGACTGCTTTGAAATTTTTACACAACGTTGCACTCGAGTAGTCACGTCTTTTTATATATCTATTATATACATTCCTAACCTGTAACAGGGAAAAAATCTGTTTTTTTTCTGGAAAACAGTGCCATCTGTTGGACATAAGAGCAACACACACTGTAATCTACGAAAGTTCTTCACCGATTGCTTTGAAATTTTGAAACAACGTTGCATTCAAATAGGCGCGTCTTTTTATATACCTACTATATAGATGCTGACAGGAAAAAACATGGGTTTTTGAAAAACAGCACCATCTGTTGCACATAATAGCAACGTGTACGCTATACTGAATATGTCACGCATTCCATTTCAATGTTTCCGATTGCATTGATTAATTTTATTTTCAGATTTCGATTTATTTTATTTTTTTATTAAATTATTTTGTGTGACATTGTTTTTGAATTGAGCTGTGTTGTTTACCATACCATTCATTTCGTAAGTATAAGTATTGATGCCACACCTGTGACAGGTAAAACTCTGCTTTTCTTGAAAAACAGCACCATCTGTTGCATGTGAAAGCAAGACACATGCTATACTAAATATGTTACAGCGTTGAATGTAATGAAACGCCATTTTCTGGGTGAGTCCCGGAGGCTCCCCGGAGCTATCCCAGGCTGATATGCTAATGTCAGACTTTGGCATCAGTCATGTGTATGGAGTTCTTAGGCCTACCGGGGACCACGGCCAGAACCGGGCCCCCTCAGAGAGGCAAGGGGAGCAATGGCCTATAGAAGCCCCCGTGTAGTTGGAAGCATTCTATGTCTGCCATCAACCGGAACAGGCACCCAGAAAGGTAAGCGCCCCAAAACAAACCCCTATTCTGGTTAAAATTGCTACCAAAAACCGAACTAGTGGATAGAACTCCCCAACCGAAAACAAGCAAACTAGTGTGACGTCACACACTGCCGCGCCGCTGTCTGCGCAGCTCCCCCCTCCCCGGGAGGGGGAAGGGGGAGCCCCAGACCCCCCGCGCCGGCTACCCACACCTCAGTTCTTGAGGCTGGATGTCAAAAACGCGAAAAACCGCCGACCGGAGGGAGGGAGGGAGGGATGCCGGGGAGCCTCCGGGACTCACCCAGAAAATGGCGTTTCATTACATTCAACGCTGGTTTTCTGGGGGGAGCCCCGTCGGCTCCCCGGAGCTAACTACCCACAGATAGAAAAAGAGGGACTTACCCAGGAGGCGGTCGTCGCTCACCCCTCAACTCGAAGCCGAGACAACTGGCTGCAACCGCCGACCCAAAGCAACACAGGCCCGACGAGGCCCAGGGACATTCACAAGGTAACGAGCAGCCAGGACCCTGTTCGACCGCCAAAATCCCCGCGCCCGAATATCAGACCAAGACATACAGTGGTACCTCGGAATGCGATTGTCCCTGTATGCGAGATTTTCGGAAGGCGAGGTGTATTTACTCCAAAAATTTGTCTCGGAAGGCGATGGTTACTTCGGGAGTCGAGTTTGAACGCGAGTTTGTTGATACGCGTACAGCCGACCTAGCGCGTGGTCGTTCGGCGATCGTTGCCCCTCTGCCCCGCTGCCCCTCAGTTCACCATTGTCTCGCGCGCAGTGACTACCCCCACATCAATTCTTGTCGTGAATTTTCAGTGTTTTGTTGGATTTTTGGTGATTTGTCTATACAATTTGTTATTATATATCTCACCATGAGTCCCAAGAAAGCCAGTGGTAAGGATAAAGGCCAGAAAGCTCATGTGAGGATGACAATAGAGGAGAAACAAGAGATCATTCGAAAGCATGAGAACGGTACACGTGTTGTTGATCTTTGTAGGCAGTACAACAAAGCGACATCAACAATATGCACTATACTTAAGAAGAAAAATAAGATTATGAGTGCTAATGTGGCAAAAGGAGTAAGAACATTAACGACACAAAGACCACAAATACTTGAAGAAGTGGAAAAGTTGTTATTAATTTGGATACACGACAAGGAGTTGAGGGGTGATAGTGTTTCGGAGGCCATTATTTCTGAGAAAGCCAGGGTGTTGCACGAAGACCTTCTAAAGAAGACCCCTGCAACGAGTGATGCAGATGCAGATAAGAAAGAGTTTAAGGCAAGCAGGGGCTGGTTTGAAAAATTTAGAAAGAGAAGTGGTATCCATAGTGTTACAAGGCATGGGGAGGCAGCCAGCTCAGACAAACCAGCCGCTGGACGATTTATTGACGAATTTAAAGAGTTTGCAGAGGCTGAGGGATACCTACCGCAACAAGTGTTTAATTGTGACGAAACAGGACTGTTTTGGAAAAGAATGCCTAAGAGGACATACATTACCAAGGAGGAAAAATCCTTGCCTGGACACAAGCCTATGAAAGATAGGTTTACGCTTGTGCTGTGTTCAAATGCGAGTGGCGATTTAAAAATTAAACCCTTGCTAGTGTATCATTCTGAAAATCCAAGGGTTTTCAAACAGTATAATGTGCAGAAAACCCGTTTGTCTGTGATGTGGAAGTCTAATAAAAAAGCATGGGTGACTAGGCTTATTTTTTCGGAGTGGGTGAATGAAGTGCTGTGCCCTGCCATAGAAAAATATCTGCAGGAGAAACAATTGCCACTCAGAGCCGTGCTTCTCCTTGACAATGCTCCTGCTCATCCTCCAGGCTTGGAAGATGATTTGATGCCTCAATACAATAAATTCCTCACAGTTAAATTCCTTCCTCCTAACACCACTCCTCTAATTCAGCCTATGGACCAGAAAATCATAGCGAATTTTAAGAAACTGTATGAAAGGGCACTTTTCCGGAAATGTTTTGAAGTGACTGAAGCCACAAACCTCACCCTCAAAGAGTTCTGGAGAGAGCATTTTAACATTTTTAGTGCTTTAAAACTCGTTGACAAAGCCTGGCAAGAAGTGACTCAAAGAACCCTGATCTCTGGCTGGAGAAAATTGTGGCCTGAAGGTGTGAGAGAACTAGACTTTGAGGGGTTTGAGCCTATAAATGATGCGCCTATTGTTGAGGAAATTGTTAGTCTAGGCCAGAAAATGGGCTTGGAATTGGATGGTGATGATGTGGAGGAGTTGGTGGAAGAACACAACGAAGAACTGACCACCGAAGAACTCCTAGCCCTTCAACAGGAACAGCAAGCCAACACAGCAGCGAATGATTTTGCATTGGAGGAGGAGGTGGTGGCAACAGCACCAGCGAATGTCCCTTCTGCAGTAATGAAGAAGGTGTGTCAGATGTGGGAAGAGATTCAAACAACTATTGAACACACTCACCCAGACAAAACTGTAGTAGGCCGTTGTCTTAATCTTTTCAATGACAATGTGATGCCTTACTACAGAGAGAGCTTGCGAAGAAGGAAAAAGCAAGCTTTCATGGACAAATATTTGGTGAAGAAATCGAGCAGTGAACCTCAACCAGGACCTAGTGGCACTCAGGTTAAACGTCCCAGGGAGAGCACACCAGAAAGGTCCTCACTGCCTGATGTGATTATGGAAGGGGACTCCCCTTCCAAACACTAACTCCTCTCCTCCTCCCCCCTCCTCACCATCTTCCATACGCCTACAGCACTCGACAGTAAGGTAAGTAATAACTGGAACATACTTTTGTAGGTTTATTTAGATGAATTAGGTAAATTAGGTATAAAAATTTAGTTTGATGTGGGGTTTTTGGGGTAGTCAGGAACGGATTAATTCATTTCCCTTTATTTCTTATGGGGAAATTAACTTCGGAATGCGAGTTTTCGGAAGGCGAGGCGTCTCCAGGAACGGATTAAACTCGCATTCTGAGGTATGCCTGTATTCCCAAAGACGGCAGCAAGAGCCGCGAACTTACGAACGGGGAT